TCACTGGAAATAATTGCTGAAGCAGAACGAACAAATACCACACCAAGTAACAGCTATGTGGTTGATCATCCAAAAACTGTTTACCAAGAGTAGGTTTTAAAGTTAGAGCTTTGTTTACATAATGAAGATTTATCAAGTCGGACTCTATTTATAATCTCATACTGACTAAGTCTGTATTAATATTTTGCTCTTTTTTTTTATTTATTTAAATAAAGGAAGTTTCAAAGCAATTTGAAGGGGCCACTTTCAAAACATCAGCTATGAGAGCAGATGCTGACATTGTCTAGAATTCCAGCAGCACTTAATCAACTCTGTTACAGTTACGAGGTTAGTGTGGCGTTAAATTTATTTGGCATCAAGCGGAAGGTCAATGCCACCGGGTTAGTCCTGAAACACAGTTCTCCTAATTCACAGGTACACCTTGCAACTTATTGTCATCAATCATCGTTTCACCGCATATAACATTAAAAAATTTTAAGGGAAAAGGATTGCACGAAATACTGTATGGAAACCGGCTGGAGCACGTCGAAATGATATCATTGATTTTTTATGCTGCAGCTCCGAATGCCAATGTGACAAATATATTGGCACGCTGGGAGAATGAGGTTTTTGAATGGGCAAAAAATACATCTCGGGAATTTCCAGAATTAACTATTGATGTACTTGGTGATAAAGTTAGTAAAAGAATATCTGCTGCGGATTTCTATTAACTCTATATTGCATTACAGTTTCTTTTTTTGAGGATTATTACAAATTCTGAAATAGTTGGGACTAAAAAAATGAGAAAATGCCTTAACCGTCTTCTAGGTTTTGGGAAGAGAAATGGTCAGAGGTGGTTTATCTTTGATACCTCACCTATGTACAGGCCTTGCATTATCTGTCGCTTTTGTTTTGGTTTCTGTTATATTTTCATCAGTACGGTGTAAGCGAGTCGATCTCGGGAAAGTTAGTTTCAGTTTTTTTAAGCTAGTCCTGACTTTTAAAAATGTTTACTTACTTTTCAATTAAGACTAAAGTAAGTTTTATCTGGTTTTCGTAAACATATTTTGGGTTCCAGATACTTGTTGTTATGGGAATTGTCATTTCACCCTTGCTTGCTGTTTGTACAACTTTTGGTATCATGGGGTTAGCTAAAATTGAGATTTATCCGATCCAGATGGTTATACCGTTTTTGATTCTTGCCGTCGGTGAGGTGTATTCCTTCAGTGTTTATCAATGTAGTTCCACAATGGAAAATCATAGCTGAAAACGAAAAGCTGCATTTTGATGTGATAGTTTTCAAGTTCCTCATTTAGGGGTTGACGACGCCTTTTTGATGGTTCATGCGTGGAATCGTTTGACACCTGCATATGAGCACCTAAGCGGCGATGAAAAGCTTCGAGCTATCCCGGCGATGTTTGGGCGCGTTTTGGAAGAGGTAATCAAAAATCTTGTTTTCTCAAAATACTTGATACCGGAAAGGCTTTTATTTTTTCCTTTCTGCGGCAGAGCCGCGAAAAATCGCAAAACACTTTGCTTTTTAAGAGCTAGTTAGATTTTGTTAAGTTTAATAATGATATTAGTTAAATGCATTCGATACAAACATCAGTATATCCAAGGTTGACCACCTTCCTACATTGACCAAATCGCTTCCTGACCAGATTTTTGCGAACGGAGTATGCCCTGTTCGACAGTGCTGAGATATGCTTGTTGATTAAACTTGTAAGCCACATTTAGCGTTGTCTGTGAGGCCCGTTTTGCAAAATAAAGGGACAGTGGAATTTTTGGTGAGAAATGAGTAGTTAAAGGTTTTCTAGTTAAGTAGGAACTTTGAGGAGTTCCCCAGTTGTTTTGATGGTTAGTTTAGGAAGTGACACATTTATTGAAAGATGGTTCTTCATTTCTAAAAATTCTACGCATTTTTTGAACATAGGCAGTTGAGAAAGACCCAGTTGGCACAGCAAGGTAAATTTGACAATCATATACATTTTGAAAACTATGAATTTTGTTCTGATGAAATTTGCGAAGCAGAAGACGAGAACAGTGTTGTGGAGTGGCACTGCTTTGAGGAAGCTATAGGAGGAGGCGCTACATAAATGTTTATGAAGCTTAATTCATCAACATTTAAGGTGCAACAGTCTTACACTGTGAAAAGACAAGATTTGTTTTTTAATAGTAAAGGGGTTGCTTGCGGTCAGTATTGTCAAGCATTGTTCAAAATGATATTCGAAAGTAAATAAGTGGAAAAAAATATTGGAGAAAGTAGAAAGTAGGTCGGAGCTTTCTTTCGGGTCGAAATTTTCAGAATTTCATGAAAATTCTTCTTTTCAAATCTCTCATGTATGCGGCAGCACTTTTTTGAAATTCTGATACTGTCCTCTGTTGCTTGCAGCAGCCGAGAAAAAAATCTTTGACGAATGCAACTTTGAGCGGTGGTTAAAGCGAGTGACAAGATAAAACTTGTCTTTAAACTGATGTTAATTGAGGTGCAGATCTCAGCAAATGAGCAAAGCTAGCTACTTCAGTTAATTTTAGAATTGAAAACAGTTAAAATGAAAGCCATATCGCTTCAGTAAATTTTCCTTCTTTTCCCACGACTATGTCTACTGCATTTTAAAACCTAAGCAGTGGTCCTCAAAGTGGTCAACTTTGGAGGATGATGTTCTTCCTAATTTTGCCGATACTTTTAGGTGGGACCATCGATCACAATCACGTCGCTCACAAATGCAATGGCTTTTGCTATCGGTACCACTGTATCCACTCCGGCTATACAGGTGACTGTTATGAACTGATGTTTAAGCTGTTGGTTACTGTTGAGCGCCAACTGTTTAACTTCAAAAATTTTATTTTCTAACTAAAGTTTTAGTGAAACTACTCAGCTGCTATAACTCGACATCTTTACCTTAGAAACTGTTCTTCTGCTCATTTCTTAATCTTCAAATTAGATTTTCTTTTATTGAAACTTGGAAAGAAAAAATGAAATAGAAAACAATTTCAAAGTGTTTATTTCAGTTATTTTGCATGGCAGCCACAATAGCTATGATCGTAGACTATATTTTCGAATTGACTTTATTTGGGGCTCTGCTTTCATTAGCAGCAAGACTGGAAAGAGTTTGGAATGTAAGCATAATTTGAGACTATGTGGCCTTCCGAATATGATTTGCGTTGTAATTTGTGTAACATATTATCGTTATTTTAAGGATCCTGTGGCTGAGAAAAAGCCAATTGGTGAAACAGCGCTCGAGAAGTTGGGTGAGGGAGAAAAAAATAAAGTAATTATGCTATTGCTTAATTAAATGTTATTCAGACATCTCACATTAGTTATATGCTATAATTTCAATCTTTAGAAATACAGCCGACTTCTGCGGTGTTACTGCCACTCGCTGACGACAACATGGGCTCGTCTTATTTTACTCGCATTCATTGCGAGTTTCTTTGTGGCCAGCCTTGTTGGCACATTGAGAATTCGAACCTACATTAATGCACAGAAGATTATTCCCTCCGATTCGCGACTGCTGAGAGCAGACGCTCTTTGTGAGAAGTATCAGTGGAAAGTCCGTTTTTTGTAACACAAGTTCTCCTCTATAATGATGTCTTCATTACCAAATAAATAAGTGTGTTAGTAATTCATTTTAACATTTCTGAAGGAAATTCAAACGGGTAAAAATGAGAACACTTTTTCTACTCAAAATGATAAAGAAGATTTTAAATTTTTTGCATTACAGTAAGTGGATTAATCTTTATGTATCGATTGTCATAGCTAGATTATTCATCCATAAATACTGTAGTACCGTTTGGCTGAATATGTTTCAGGAGTATGAACCTTTATTTGTTTTTGTCAACAACCCCCCTGATATTTCCCATCCGAAGTTGCTGAGAGAATTGGATTTGATGGTTGAAGACTTTGAGACACTTCCGCAGGCAATTGGACCATCTGCAACAATGTTCTGGGTGAATGACCTGCGCAAGGTAGGTGGACCATGCTTTGTAAACTTCAGTAGTTGTTATAAGCACGATTTCTCTTTATCTCTTTTAATGTTATTTCAGTTTGTGAAGGCATTCCAAGAGGATTCCACTGGTAACGATTGGCTCACTGCCATAGCAGGCGACCTTCCGTTATCAGCTAGTTGGATTCCAACTTTTCTTACGTGGGCTCCTTTCTGGAATGCGACGCTCCGGTGGCACTGGGAAGACGAGTAATTACTCCATTCTGAAAATGTAAAATATAGTTTGATTAATTTGGTCTTTGGTGAATTTTTGTTTTTTTTTAGTAACTCATTGGTAGTGGTGGATTCGTTCTACTTTGTTACTGGTTATTGCAATTCGACATCTTGGTTGGATAGGGCAAGTTTAATGCTGAAGTAAGTGAATACTTATTTGATGGTGAACAATGATTTGTTCTGATACTTTTTGGAGACTTAAGCAATTCTTTACTTTCCGCACGCCACCGTCTTGTCATACCTCGTTTAAAATAATTTTCAAACACTGGTGATGCTGGTTCAGTAGGGTTAAGACTCGCTAAAACTTATATTTGGATTGGA